GGTCTATGTGGGTCCTAATGCCCCAGTATAGTGACGGGGACACTATACTGTAAACAGGTGCTGTCCTTCGGATGAGATGTAAAACTGAGGTCTTGACTCTCTGTGGTCATTAAAAATCCCAGGGTGTTTCTCGAATAGAGTAGGGGTGTATCCCTGGTGTCCTGGCCAAATTTCCCATTGGCCCTTACCAATCATGGCCTAATAATCCCCATCTGTGAATTGGCTTCATTACTCTGCTCTCCTCCCCACTGAGAGCTGATGTGTGGTGAGTGTTCTGGCGCACCATGGCTGCCGTCGCATCATCCAGGTGGATGCTGCACACTGGTGGTAGTGGAGGGGAGTCCCCATTACCTGTAAAGAGCGTTGAGTTGAGTGTCCAGAAAAGTGCTATTATTATTATTATCTGACACAGATAAAAACATATTTCTGTGTCTCTGTCTTTTTCTTTTCTTGCAGGTAAACTAACTTGGTGGATAACTTACCCAGATGGCTGCACTTCTTCTCTTTGCCTTGAAGACACCTCAGTGCCTCTCAGTACCTTTCTTGTCACTTTGATTGTTGAAGAGAAACAGTCCTTTCACACTCCTTGTCTGTTTCAACAAATCAATATTCTCTACCTTTAACTAAGGAAAGTTTCACCAGGCTCCCAGAACTCCTTTTCAACATACAGAAATGTCTTAAAATTGTTTAACTGCCTTTTTTAAAGAAATACTGCCCATTTACTTTCTGGCTCAAGTCACACTGAAAATGAGAAATGGAATATATTACAAAGCCAGTGAAGGAAGTAAAAGATTTTACTTTAAGCGGACAGTCATTGTGATCTTGAGTAATTCTTTACATTAGACGCTAGATGTCAGTGATATATTCTTGTTCTGTTGTTAGGTGCTGTTAAGTGTTTTTTTTTACTTGTGCACTCTGCACTCTGTTTATTTATATACAGTATAGCAGAGAACAGTTCACTCTGCCACCACGTAGCAGGAAGATGCACTGAGGCAGAGTGGACCAATAAAATGCAGATTCACATAATCCACAGTTTACTGACATCATTAATCAAAAGGGTGATTTACATGCAAATTGTTTAGACCACATGCCTGTGTGGTTTGCATAAAGGGAGTCAGATAGCATAAATCTGAAGACTCATCACCACTCTGACATTTTTTTTCAAATCACAAAAAGACATAAGCCATGGTGTCGGTCATTTCAGTCACCTGGATTATTTAATTCTACACTTTGGGTGAGTCAAAGAAATATTTCTCTACATTTAGTTCAAGTAGGTAGGTGCGTCAGCATGCGAAGGCTGCAAAGGAACAAGTTAAAGGTTTATTCCATGCTGAATAAAGAAGAAACGAAACACAATGTTTCGGAAGTGGAGCCTTCTTCGGTTGTGAAAAACATTGTTTCCTTTCTTCTCTCTTCAGCATGGAATAAACCTATTAATTGTTCTTTTCTCTACATTTGTTTTGTATTTTAACTTAAAATATATTACTATAAAATGTGATCTGTCTGATACACATTGTTTCTGTGTTGTTTCTGCAGGGACTGAGGGTCAGATCACAATGACTCAGACTCCAACCACAGTCTCAGTGTCTCCTGGGCAGGATATCAGTCTCCGGTGCAGCACAAGTCAGGACATTAGCTTAAAAATAGTCTGGTACCAACTCCAGGCTGGATACAGTCCTAAACTGCTAATAAAAACTGGGGATGAGCGATTTGATGAACTTCCAACTTGATTAAATGACAGCTGATCCAGAACTGTTTATACCTTCAAAATCACTCCAGGACTCCAGGTGGACGATGCAGGACATTATTATTATCAGCAGTATAGAAGCTTTCACAGAGTGATACATACTTATAAGGAGAAGAGAGGGATGCAATTAATAGATGGGGATTATTAGGAGGCCAAAAGGAAAATCTACCAGGTTAACACCCCTGCATTCTTCAAGAAACACCCTGGGATTTCTAATGATCATGATTCTAATTACATCTCATCCAAAGAGCAGCTCCTTTTTACAGTCTGGTGTCCCCGTCACTATAATGGGCATTAGGACCCACACAGATCACAGAGTGAGCGCCCCCTACTGGCTCCTCTAATATCTCTTCTAGCAGCAACTTTAGTTTTTCCCAGGAGTCTCCCATCCAGTTACTGCCCAGGCTCACACCTGCTGAGCTTCAGTGGGTTACCAGTTGTGAATGGCAGGGTGATATGTTGATATAACCTTCTTTTGGAAACTGAGAAAGGACACATACTGTACAATGAGTCAAACTGCTAACCAGTCTTTTCTGCTGTTTTCTGGTTGGCATTTTGGCTCATAGTCTTGCTCATAAGCCTGCTCTATCTCACTAGGAGTGCATCTAATGTGAAGTTAGCCTGTGTTACTGTACGTACTGTACATCCTCGGTTTGTCTCATACATCTGTATGTAGGATACTCTTTATTTTACCACTCCCTACCAGATTAATTCAGTTGTAAATAGTAGTTACAAATGAGCTTCTAGATTCTTGTTCACTCCAGTGTTTTCTAACACAGAACACTTTGTTCATCTCATTTCTTTCCTAATGTTTGCTTTCGAATACTGTCTGTAAGGCTGTTCACTTTCACCATAATCTCTTTGTTTGTTTCATCCTCTTTTTCCTTTCACTTGAAAGGGGAGTTTGATCTCATTTACATTTTCCTTTCTCTTTGCTTGACTGGACTCTTTTTACATAGTTCAGTAATAAAAGAGTTAAAGAGCGGGAAAAACAATGTCTTACATCAGCTATTCTCACAATTCAGCACGTCATTTGAACATGATCGTCATATCTGACTTCCCCAACTTCCACAGCAACACTAACTATGGGAGAAGGCTGTTCTAGAAGATACCCTTTCTTGCCTTTCTCAGCTGCCACCCCAAACCCCAGGACATTGGCTTTCAAATCACATCACTCTTCAGCCCCTTACTCATTCATAACTGAGCTTTAGGTCCCTCTCTCTGTGTGCACACACTATGATGGCCCTTAACAATGACCAGGATTACTCAGCCCATTCCAGGTGCTCTTCGGTATAAATATCCTGACCTGAGAGAGCTTGGAGCTCTGTTATTGTGTTTGACACCGAGCCTCATGTCTCCTGATCAGCCCTTGTGCTTGGCTACAGTGTCTCCCCAGTTACAGCCCTCGCTTGTTTCGCATTATGTCCCCGGACTGTGGTTAGCAGCATCCTACAGGTCTACCAGTCAACCATGACCCAGGAAATTCCATGTGAGCTGTGACCTGTGGCTGACCTGAGAGCAGCCCCTGACACATCACGATCCTGTGATGAAACTGTCAAGTTCTTTCCTAGACTGTGTGCTGGACGTCACCCAGTTGGATCTGCTTCAACACCATGACTGGATAGCTGGTTATAGACCCACAGTCCCATGGGGTTAAAGGGTTTGTTACAACCTGATGGATCATAATGACTGTGCAGTAGCTCCATTTTATTTTACTTTCACCTGAGAAAAATCTGAAACTGAAAGCATTTGTTTGTGATGCTTGGTCAGGAAGAATCTCCATTTCTCTGTCTCTCATTCATCTTCGATGTCTGGGCTCTTGTGCAGAAGCCAGGTGTTTGGTGTCTCTTACCCTCCTGGCTGCCTCACACACCTGCTGAAAGGGAGCCCCTGTGTAAAGGGGGTGGATCGCCCTCTAACACAAGATCAGGCTGCGGGTGTTAAAAGTGAAAGTCTGGGAGGATGAAAGGTGCTGCAGTATAACACTCTGTTAAGCTCATGCAGTTCCCCCAGCGCAGCAGGAGGCAGCCTGTGAGGCAGAGCTGGGGGAGATGAGCAGGGTTTCAGCTCAGGGCTGTGAGGGGAGGCAGGTGAAGACTGAGACCATCTGGCTGTGTGGTTTCTCTCTCTGCTGCTGACCTGAAACTGACTGTCAGGCTGCTGCTCTGTGATTGCAATCGTAGTCTTCTCCTGGGATTGTCTCTTTACTGCTGTTCTGTGATTGTCATTCTGCCTCGTTCTGTATTACTGCTGAAAGCAAAACAGACTGAATTAAACTTACAGTTTCAAATCTAATTTAAAGGTAATTTAAAACAAATTAAGCTGGATTTCACGGGCTTGTGAGCAGCAGTGTTGAGTAATTTATCTCATACATTCAATGCCATGTTGGCACTGAATGTGATTAATTCTTTCTCACTTTTTGTTGAAATGTGAAATGAACTAACATACAGTATGTAGGTGACAATGCAAAATGATTGTATAAAGTGTGTCTTTTATGAAGAGGCATGTTCAGCATATCATATTAAATTAACATTGTATAATTTATATCATATCTTTCAGCACATTTTAAGGACATTTTCGATGAGAGTTGGCTTTCATTTTTCGTTATTTTAAAAGTATAATATATATCTGACTATATTGCAAATTTGTCCTCACAGCTCTCAGGTCCTGAGATACCTTCTGTGTGGAGTCTGGATGTTCTCACTCCGATCAAGCAGGATTTGTCCTTGTCCTCCAGTTCTTCCCACCTTCCTGAGCCCTGATTGCCATAATAATCGATCTCTGCAGGTTATTGCCCCTGTCTGCTGGTATCAAAGTGCACTGATTAGACTCTGGACCAGGAATAAGAGACTTTCTGATGATGGATGGACTCAAAAGGATGTGTGATGCAAGAACACAACCACATGCATATTGGTTGCATATTATCAGGTATGTCTGTTGTGGCGCTGGAGACATCAGTCTGAGATGTACTGTAAGTCTTAGTAATAATTATTTCAATACTGCACATCAATACAGCTTCTAGTCTAATAGCAGAGAAAGAAAATCAAGTCTGAACAAGAAAGAAGAACTGAAAGGAAGACATTGGCAGTGGAGGGCTGGGAAAGAGCAGTTTTGTGCATGTTTTCTACAGCTGTGTATGAAACTTCACACCACTTTATTTTCACTGACACAACACTCTTTTCAAAATAATTAAAATTATAAAATGTCTTGATAGGTACAGAAGATATACCGTAGTGCTTTATTGAGCAATCTGTGTATGTAAACTCATATATGTATATAGTGACATATATACTGTACATATATTAGTGGCCCTGATGTACTACTGCAGGCAGTGACAACACATGAATTGTGCAGCTTGTGCCCTAGATGGGCTGCTGGAAAAGGACTTAGTGCTGCTGTATGCGCATATGTTGCCTTTGTGTGGTTGTTTCTTCCCTGTAGTTGATCTTCCTAGTTAGATTCCTCACTGGGTCGCTGTCTGTAACCCTGTTAGCAGCAGAACCATGAGTCCCCCCACAAACTGGACTCCAGTGGTTTGGTGGTGAGCAACTGTGTGACAGAGAGTAGGAGGTGGTAATAAAGCAGGGTCAGTCAGCAGGGCTTCGAAGTGTTGTGATTGCTTCTCTTTGGCTTCCTCTGCAAAAATTAAACCCAAGAGTGAGATTTTTTTTAAGGGAACTAGAAGAAGCTGAAAATGTGAGAGATTAAGATCCTGAGGAGATATTTTGGAGACGGGTTGGAAACTGTGAATTGGCAGAACAAACTACCAATCCAAAATGGAAACTCATGCAACAAAAAGACTGTAACCTCTCCCCGACAGGGAAGGTGCTGGTGATTAAAGTCAAGCTCTTGCCTATCTTGAATTTTCTGGCTCCCACCTTCCCAATCCCACACTGTTATGTGGCAGAGCTGGGGAGATTGATGTTTCATTTTCTATTGCTTTGGAAGCAGGAAAGACTCAGGAGGGAAATAATGTACAGGCCGCTACCCTTGGGGGGGAAGTTTGTCCCAGACGTTGCCATGAAGCTGCTGTGCATCTTCCTGACCTCTGTACTGAGAGGTCTTGCGAGAGCACCTGAACCACAAACCTGGACTTATTTCCCCAGGTGTTGGGGAGGTATCAGACCCAAGATGGATGTGCCATTCTCTGAGACATGCCCTGCAAGTTACAGCACAGAAAAAAGCTTTTTAAGATCTCATCCAATTGGTCATGATAAGACCCTCCATCTGAGACTGGAGATGAAATGATCTATTCCTTACACACATTGAATTGATTTATTTATGCTCAGTATTCTAAATGAGGTCGGACAAGTGTGAGGAATCATTTTAGCTCAAATGTCCCTTGATTCCTGTGTGAAATGTATCTTT